CTCACACACCCTCCGCCTCGACCCTCACACTCCCTCCGCCTCGACCCCTCACACACCCTCCGCCTCGACCCCTCACACTCCCTCCGCCTCGACCCTCACACTCCCTCCGCCTCGACACCTCACATTCCCTCCACCTCGACCCCTCACACTCCCTCCACCTTGACCCCTCACACACCACACTCCCTCCACCTTGGCCCCTCACGCACCGTCCACCTCAACATCCTCCAGCCCTCACTCACCCTCCACCTCCACACACTCCAGCCCTCACACTCCTCCCCCTCCCCCTCCGCCCCGATCCTTCACCCCTGTACCTTCAACACCAATCTACTTCTGACATCCAATTCCTCCCACTTCACCCCACCATCTTAGCCATCCACCACCCTCCACCTCCACCACCTCCCTCTCCAACAACCTCACTGGTAAAGACAAATGTAAGTCCCCTACAGACAGAAACAGGGGAATGTATAGTACAGCACACAGAAATGGCTGAGCAATTGAATACATACTTGGGTTCTGTCCTCACAAAAGAGGGTACAAATCAGCTATCAGAATTGTTGGAGGATGCAAGATTTAGTGAGAGAGAAGAATTGAGGGAGATTAATATTAATAGAGAAATGGTGCTGGGATAATTGATGGGATTGAAGGCCGATAAATCCCCAGGGCCTGATAATCTACATTCCAGAGTACTTAAGGAAGTAGCTCTAGAAATAGTGGATGCATTGGTGGTTATCTTCCAGGATTCTCTAGCCTCTGGAACAGTCTCTGCAGATTGGAGGGTGGCTCATGTCACTCCAATATTCAAAAAGGGAGGTGGAGAGAAAACAGGGAATTATAGACCAGTGAGCCTAACATCGATAATGGGGAAAATTCTCAAATCCATTGTCAAGGATTTTATATCAGAGTATTTAGAAAACAGTGACAGGATCAGACAGAGTCAGCGTGGATTTATGAAGGGGAAACCATGCTTGACAAATCTGTTGGAATTCTATGAAGATCTAACTAGTAGTTGACAAGAGGAGCCAGTCGATGTAGTATATTTGGACTTTCAGAAAACATTTGACAAAGTCCTACATTAGAGATTATTGTGCAACATTAAAGCGCATGGGATTGGGGGAAGTGTATTGAGATGGATAGGAAAGTGGGGCAGCATGGTGGCTCGGTGGCTCAGTGGTTAGCACTGCTGCCTCACAGCACCAGGGACCCAGGTTCGATTCCACCCTCTGACGACTGTCTGTGTGGAGTTTGCACATTCTCCCCGTGTCTGTGTGGGTTTCCTCTGGATGCTCCGGTTTCCTCCCACAGTCCAAAGATGTATAGGTTAGGGTGGATTGGCCATGCTCAATGCCCATAGTTTTCAGGGTGGGAAATGCAGGGATAGGGTAAAAGGATGGGTGTGGGTGGGATGCTCTTTGGAGGGTGGGTGTGGACACAATGGCTAAATGGCCTGCTTATGCACTGTAGGGATTCTATCATGGTGATGATGATGATGGTTGGCAGGGAGGAAACAAAGAGTAGGAATTAATAGGTCCTTTTCAAATTGGCAGGCAGTAACTAGTGGGGCGCCACAGGGATCGGTGCTGGGACCCCAGCTATTCACAATATATATTAATGATTTGGATGAGGGAACAAAATGTAACATCTTCAAGTTTGCAGACAATACCAGGTTGAGTGGGGAGTGAACTGTGACAAGGATGCAGAGAACCTTCAGCATGATCTCGACAGGTTGGGTGATTGGGCAAATCAATTGCAGATGCAGTATAATTTGGATAAATGTGAGGTTATTCACTTTGGAAGCATAAACAAGGCAGCAGATTACTACCTGAATGGCTGTAAATTGGGAGAGGGGAGTGTGCAGTGGGACCCGGGTGTCCTTGTGCACCAGACGCTGAAGGTAAGCATGCAGGTACAGCAGGTGGTAAAGAAGGTAAATGGCATGTTGGCCTTCATCGCGAGAGGTTTCGAGTACAGGAGCAGGGATGTGTTGTTGCAGTTATACAGGGCCTTGGTGAGACCACACCTGGAATATTGTGTGCAGTTTTGGTCTCCTTTTCTGAGGAAGGATGCTCTTGCTCATGAGAGAGTGCAGGGAAGGTTTACCAGGCTGATTCCGGGGATGGTGGGTCTGACGTATGAGGAAAGACTGACTAGGTTGGGGTTGTTTTCGCTAGAGTTCAGACGAATGAGGGGTAATCTCATAGAGACTTATAAAATTCTAACAGGACTGGACAGGGTAAATGCAGGGAGGATGTTCCCAATGGTGGGTGTGTCCAGAACCAGGGGTCACAGTCTGAGGATTCGGGGTAGATGATTTAGGACGGAGATGAGGAGACATTTCTTCACCCAAAGAGTGGTGAGCCTGTGGAATTCATTACCACAGGAAGTAGTTGGTGCCAAAACATTGAATATATTCAAGAGGTGACTAGATATAGCACTTGGGGGTGAATGGGATCAAAGGTTATGGGGAGAAGGCAGGATTAGGCTATTGAGTTGAATGATCAGCCATGATCATGAAGATTAGCGGAGCAGGCTCGAATGGCTGAATGGCCTCCTCTTGCTCCCATCTTCTATGTTTCTGTGTTTACCCTTTTAACATTCCTCCCCCTCCCACATTACCCTCCCCTCCACTAAACCTCAGTCCCTCCATCGCCCCTCAGCCCCTCTAACATTCCCCTCTGCCCATCCAATATCCTTCTTCCCCTCCAACATCCCTCTTTCCTTCCTCCTTTTTACCCTTCTCCACCTCTTTCCTTGTTGCTTCATCTCCCCTGCCCTCTCCCACACGGTCTCCATCCCGGGGATAGGGTTGGCCTTGCCCCTGACAGTGATGGTGGTGGAAGAGGTTCGGTGATGGAGCTCTGGGACTGATCATCTCCTGTTGCTTTCAGTATGTGGACCTGAGGACCCGCTACATTGAGCTGATGACCCTGTCCAGCCAGTACATCAAATTCATCACCATCAATCTGCAGCGTCTTAAAACCGAAGAGGTGAGGCTCAACACAAACACAAGGGCAGTGGGTGGAGGGGCGCAAAGTGGGTGAACGGGAGGCTGGGGATTGCGAGTGCTGATTGAGGGCTGTGGTAGGGCTAGTTGGGGTGTCTGGGCAGAGGTTGGGACAAGGGGGCCAGAATGTTTGGGGTGAAGGGTCAGGGTGTAGGGGGTGAAGGGTCAGGGTATAGTGGGTGAAATTTGGGTGGCATGGTGGCTCGGTGGTTAGCACTGCTGCCTCACAGCGCCAGGGACCCGGGTTCAATTCCACCCTCGGGCGACTGTCTGTGTGGAGTTTGCACATTCTCCCTGTGTCTGTGTGGGTTTCCTCTGAGTGCTCCAGTTTCCTCCCACAGTCCAAAGAGGTGCAGGTTAGGGTGGATTGGCCATGCTAAATTGCCCGTAATGTCCAGGGATGTGTAGGTTAAGTGGGTTAGATATGGGGAATTAGGGGAATGGGTCTAGGTGGGATGCTCTTTGGAGGGGTAGTGTGGACTTGTTGGGCCGAAGGGTCTGTTTCCACACTGTAGGGATTCTATGAAGGGTCAGTGTTTACAGGGTGAATGGTTGGTATGTGCAGGGTGAAGGGTCATGGTGTTGGGGTGAAGGGTCAGGGTGTGTGTCGTTGAGGGAGGGGTTGTTTTGACTTTGGGAGTGAGCATTTTCGGAATGTAGATACAGTTTTAATTAAAAAGCCAAGTGTGTGGGGAAAGGAGTGAAGGATAAAACGCATCAGAACAGCTCCATCCTACTCAAACCTCATCTCCAAAATAACTGCTACATCACTGGAGCTCGGAGTGTGAACACAAATTACAAACTGTATAAAAACCATTATAACACAAGAGATTAGCTCTCAGTGTCCAGCTCAATATCGTTATAACACTCAGCTGGGATTCGGTCAATATAAATCTCCTTGTTCAGTAAAAAGATGGGAATCATCAATGATGTAATCTCTGGCATTCTCAGAGATGTGAGAGAGACAGAGAGAGAGAGAGAGAGAGACACAAAGAGAGAAAGAGAATGAGGGGGAGGGAGAAACCTTCCTTTATTCACTCACAGGATGTGGTGTCACTGGCTGGATCAGCATTTATTGCCCATCCCTAATTGCCCAGAGGGCAGTTAAGAGTCAACCATATTGCTGTGGGTCTGGAGTTACATGTAGACCAGACCTGGTGAGGATGGCAGATTCCTTCCCTAAAGGATATTAGTGACCCAGATGGGTGTTTTCAACAAGTGATAGTTTCATGGGCACGTTCAGACTAGGTCCATATTTCAAAAGTTATGAATTGGATTTAAATATTACCAGTTACTGTGGAATACATGTTGAACCTGCGTCCCTAGATCATGAGCCTTGGGTCCCCAGTGTGCAAAGCCTCAGAGTTTACAAGATACAGAGTAATGTATCAGAATGAACAATTGTTTTAATGTTTTTGAACTTTTTTTTGATGTTAATGAGGTTACTTTCTTGCTAAGCATTTTATCTTCTTGTTTATCTTTCAAAACCTTCTCCCTGCTTGCGGGTGCGACCTTCTGTTCTGCTTATTATTCTGTTTTTTGGGCAGTTATTAAGGTAAATGAAGATCTGAATTTTCACTACTTGGTGGAAGGTGTTCTCTCTATTAGTGCATGTTCCTGCTCAGTCCAGACTGAGCTTTCAGGTGTTGTGACAGTGCTCAGTCAGTCTGTCCACCCATCTTGCTCTCTCTCTCTCTCTCACACACTCTCTATTTCTCGCTCCATGTCATCAGATATAATCTCCATTGGTTGTTCCTTAGTTTCTCACTTGGTGCTGCCCTGGTGTCGAATGCTTGGTGCTGGGTGTCTGGTTGATCACATCTCCTGTACTTTAAACCTGTAGAGATAAGTGGTGACTGTGAATTTCTGCTGTTTTGGTGCTTTGCGATCTGGAAATGGTTCAGACTCTACCCCTCACTGCTGTGCTCGCTAAAGCTGGAAGGTGAACCTCACTTCCTCATTAATTCGAGCTGGTTTAGGGGTTTCTGTCAACATGAGCTGGAACTTGGTAATGACCCAGTGCTGAGAGCCAGCTGTTCTGTGCAGTGGATGGTTAAGAATTTGATGGTGAAGGGGACATGGTGTAAATGCTGAATAGCATGGTTGCACTTTGTTTAATGATGGTTTAACGTACAGAGATGTTGGAATAGTTACTGCTGATGTTCTGTCACTGTTTCTGGGCAGTGGGACAGGGCTGTGCGCGATTGTCTCGAGTGATTCCATACTGTAACCATTAATCTACTCCATCTATTCACCTTGTTCCATCTCTAAACGCAACTCCAACATGGACTCTGTCCCTGTAAGACTTTACCAAAACCCTCCCCCAGTGGGAGCCCAGTGCCCTCTCCCTCCCCCAGTGGGAGCCCAGTGCCCTCTCCCTCCCCCAGTGGGAGCCCAGTGTCCCTCCCTCCCCCAGTGGGAGCCCAGTGCCCTCTCCCTCCCCCAGTGGGAGCCCAGTGCCCTCTCCCACCCACAGTGGGAGCCCAGTGCCCTCTCCCACCCCCAGTGGGAGCCCAGTGCCCTCTTCCTCTCCCAGTGGGAGACCATTGCCCTCCCCCCGGGGGAGCCCGGGGCCCCCCCCTCCCCCCGTGGGAGCCCAGTGCCCCCCCCCCCTCCCCCAGTGGGAGCCCAGTGTTCATTGGGGTCAGTTTGGTCACTGAGGCCCAGTTGCTCATTGGAGACGAGCCCGTGTGCCCAGTCCCCAGTGATTGGTTGCCGTTCTCGTTGTTCCAGTTAGCCAGGCCTCAGTAGTTGTCTCTCATTTCTCGCTGCTGTCGTTGTTGGTGTTGATGTTGCCTCTGTCCATCATTCTCACACTTAGAAAGCTGCAGAGGAGCTGAAAGCAGAAGAGCGTAAACGTTTGGAAGAAGTGGAGGCACAGTTAGAGAAACAGAAGCAGTTAGCTGTTGCTCATGCGAAGGCCAAAGCTGAGGCTGAGAAGGAAGCGAAGGAGCTACAGCAGAGGATAGAGGAAGAGGTGAACAAGAGGGAGGCAGTAGCATTGAATGCAGAGAACCAGAAGCAGAATGTTCAACAAGAGTTAAACCAACTGAAAACCTCCTCGGAAATTGAAATCCAGAAAAAGACAAAGATGGTGGAGGAAGTTCTGTTTAGCCGCACCAAGATTGAGGAGGAGATTCGAATTATCCAGTTACAATTAGAGACTTCCCAGAAACAGAGAGAATCTGCAGAGTTGGAGCTGCAACAACTGAAAACACGAGCTGAAGAAGCAGAGAAACAGAGGAAAACAGCACAGGATGAGGCTGAAAGACTGCGCAAACAGGTCAACGAGGAGTCCCAGAAGAAGAAACAAGCAGAGGAGGGACTAAAGCTGAAGATTCAGGCAGAGAAAGATGCTGCTCGGGAGAAGCAAAAGGCTTTGGAGGACCTGCAACATTTCAAGAACCAAGCTGCGGATGTGGAGAGGAGAATGAAGCAAGCAGAGCTGGAGAAAGAGAAACAGCTGATGCTTGCTCAGGAAGTCGCTCAGAAAAGTGCCGCAGCTGAACTCCAGAGCAAACGCATCTCATTCGAGCAAAAAACAACAGAGCTGGAGTTATCCCTGAAACAGGAACATCAGACTGTGACCCAGTTACAGGAGGAGGCCGCACGGTTGAAGAGACAACAGGAGGATGCAGAGAATGCCAAGCAGGAAGCAGAGAAAGAGCTGGAGAAATGGCGTCAGAAAGCCAATGAGGCCCTTCGATTAAGACTGCAGGCAGAAGAAGTGGCTCACAAGAAGACACTGGCTCAAGAGGAAGCTGAAAGGCAGAAGGAAGAGGCTGAGCGTGAGGCCAGGAAGAGAGTGAAAACTGAGGAATCAGCACTAAGGCAGAAGGAAATGGCCGAGCAGGAGTTGGAGAAACAGAGGAAGCTGGCCGATGAAACGGCACAGCAGAGACTCTCCGCAGAGCAGGAGCTAATCCGCCTGCGAGCACAGACTGAGAACGGGGAGCAGCAGAGGCTGCTGCTGGAGGAAGAACTGTACCGGCTAAAGAACGAGTTCAATGAGGTTCTTCGCCAAAGGAAACTGTTGGAGGAGGAGCTGGCAAAGGTGAAAGCGGAGATGGAGATCCTGCTGCAGCTGAAATTGAAAACTGAGGAGGAAACCAGGTCAACAACAGAAAAGACCAAACAAATGCTGGAGACAGAGGCACAGAAGATGAAAGAGCTGGCGGATGAGGCAGCAAAGCTGCGATCTGCGACAGAGGAAGCCAAACGTTTGAGACAGATTGCTGAAGATGAAGCTAGTCACCAGAGGAGTGAGGCTGAGAGGATCCTGAAAGAGAAACTTGCTGCCATTAATGATGCCACCCGCTTAAAGACAGAGGCAGAAATGGCTCTGAAGGAGAAGGAGGCTGAAAATGAACGTTTGCGAAGAATGGCCGAGGATGAGGCCTATCAACGGAAGCTACTGGAAGAACAGGCAATGCAGCACAAGCAAGATATCGAGGAAAGGATTGCTCAGCTGAGGAAGAGCTCTGACCTCGAATTGGACAGGCAGAAAGGCATTGTGGAGGAGACTTTGAAACAGAGGAGAATCATTGAGGAAGAGATTCGAATCCTCAAACTGAACTTTGAAAAGGCTTCAGAAGGCAAGTCTGATCTGGAAATTGAGCTGAACAAGTTGAAGAACATTGCTGAGGAAACTCAACGCAGCAAGAAAGAGGCGGAGGAGGAGGCTGACAAACAGCGAGCAAGGGCCTTGGAAGAAGCAAAGAAGAGGCAAGAGGCAGAACGCAAAGTCAAAGAAATCCTCGCAGCTGAGGAAGAGGCTGCTCGGCAACGCAAGGTGGCACTGGACGAGGTCGAGCGACTGAAGAAAAAGTCAGAGGAAGCCTGGAAACAGAAGGACCTGTCAGAGAAAGAGGCAGAGAGGCAGATCAGCCTGGCACAAGAGGCTGCTCAAAAACGTATTGATGCTGAGGAAAGAGCTCACTTAGCGGCAGTGCAGCAGAAGGAACAGGAGCTGCTACAAAGCAAGAAACAGGAGAAGACAATAGTGGACAATCTAAAGGAACAGGCCGAGAATGCCAAGCGACTGGCAGAAGAGGCAGAAAAGGCACGGCTGAGAGCTGAACAAGAGGCAGCTTTCAGTCGACAACAGGCTGAAGAAGCTGAGAGATTGAAGGAACAGGCAGAGAAAGATGCTCAGGAAAAAGCCAGGGCTCAACAGGATGCTGAAAAGAGAAGGAAGGAGGCAGAATTTGAAGCTGCCAAGAGATTAAAAGCTGAGGAGGCAGCTCTGAAACAGAAACAACTGGCTGACGCAGACATGGAGAAACACAAGAAGTTTGCAGAGCAAACACTGCGGCAGAAATCGAGTGTGGAGCATGAACTGACAAAAGTTAAACTGCAGTTGGAAGATACAGACCACCAGAAATCCATCTTAGATGAGGAGTTACAACGTTTGAAATCTGAAGTGACAGAGGCCATCAAACAAAAGACTCAAGCTGAGGATGAACTCCTCAAAGTCAAAATCCACATGGAAGAGCTCATCAAACTGAAGACAAGGATTGAAGACGAAAACAAGATGCTAGTTTTGAAAGATAAGGACAACATGCAGAAGCATCTGGCTGAAGAAGCAGAGAAAATGAAGAAGCTAGCTGAAGAGGCAGCCAGGCTAAGTGTCGAGGCACAAGAATCAGCCCGTCAGAGGAAACTGGCAGAGGAAGATTTGGCACAGCAGAGGGCACTGGCTGATAAGATGTTAAAGGAAAAGATGCAGGCCATTCAGGAAGCAAATCAACTGAAAGCAGAGGCAGAAATGCTGCAAAAACAGAGAGACCAAGCTGAGGAACAGGCAAAGAAATTGTCAGCAGACAAACTGCAGATGCAGCAGCGGCTGGAGGCAGAGGCTGAAGAATTCCAAAAGCGTCTACTGACGGAACGTCAACGACAGATTGAGATCAGCGAGGAAGCTCAGCACCTGAAGACTTTAGTCTCAGAGCTGTCTGAGGCTCAGGCCAAAGCAGAGCAGGAAGCTAAGAAATTCAAAGCCGAAGCGAAAGAGATCAGTTTGAAGCTTTGTGATATAGAACAGGCAACGAGAGAGAAGGCCAGCACAGTGGAGAGACTCGAACTGCAGTGGGTCCAGAGTAAGAAAGAAGCCAGTGAGCTACAGGACGCCATTGCAGTGTTGGAGAGTGAAAAAGAGAAACTGAAACAAGAGGCAGATCTACTCCAACAGAGAGCAAAGGAGGTAATGTTACTGACTGTCACCCCAGACCACACTGACCATCACACGCACACCACACTGACCATCACCC